CATCAGGGAAATACAAATCAAAACCACAATGAGAGGGCGCCTGGGTGGCTCAGATGGTTAAGCGTCTGCCTTCGGCTCAGGTCATGATCCCAAGGTCCTGGGATCGAGTCCCACATCGGGCTCCCGGCTCAGCGGGGAGCCTGCTTCTCCCTCTGACCCTCTCCCCTCTCATGCTGTTTCTCTCTCGCTCTCTCTCTAAAAAATAAATAAAAAATTAAAAAAACCCCACAAAAACCCCCCCCAAAAAACCACAATGAGATACCACCTCACACTGGTCAGAGTGGCTAAAATTAGTAAGTCAGGAAACAATAGATGTTAGTGAGGATGTGGAGAAAGGAGAACACTTGTACACTGTTGGTGGGAATGCAGACTGGTGCAGCCACTCTGGAAAAGAGTATGCAGGTTCCTCCAAAAGTTAAAAATAGAACTACCTGATGATCCAGAAATTGCACCACCAGGTATTTACCCAAAGGATATAAAAATACAGATTTAAGGGGCACCTGGATGGCTCAGTTGTTAAGCGTCTGCCTTCGGCTCAGGTCATGATCCGGGGGTCCTGGGAGAGCCCTGCATCGGGCTCCCTGCTCCGTGGGAAGTCTGCTTCTCCCTCTCCCACTCCCCCTGCTTGTGTTCCCTCTCTCCCTGTATCTCTCTCTGTCAAGTAAATAAATAAAAATCTTAAAAAAAAAAAAACAGATTCAAAGGGGTACATATACCCTGATGTTTATAGCAGCATTATCAACAATAGCCAAACTATGGAAAGAACCCAAATGTCCATCAACTGATGAATGGATAAAGAAGATGTGGTGTATACATACACAATGGAATATTACTCAGCCGTCAAAAAAGAATGAAATCTTGCCATTTGCAATGATGTGGATGGAGCTAGAGTGTACTATATGCTAAGCGAAATAAGTCAGTCAGAGAAAGACAAATACCATATGATTTCACTCGTATGTGTTATTTAAGAAACAAAACAGATGAACATATGGCAAGGGAAAAAAAAGAGAGAAGGAAGCAAACCATAAGAGACTCTTAACAACAGAGAACAAACTGAGGTTTGATGGAGGGAGGTGGTTGGGGGATGCATTAAATGGGTGATATGTATTAAGGAGGGCACTTGTTATGATGAGCACTGGATGTTATGTGTAAGTGATGAATTACTAAATTCTTTTCTGAAACCAATATTACCCTATAGGTTAACTAACTAGAATTGAAATAAAAATTTGGAAAAAAATAAGTTACTATACTTTTCAACTCCACAATCTCCATTTGGTTCATTTTTATCTCTCTTTTTTTTTATTATTATTATGTTATGTTAATCACCATACATTACATCATTAGTTTTTGATGTAGTGTTCCATGGTTCATTGTTTGCATATAACACCCAGTGATCCATGCAGAACGTGCCCTCCTTAATACCCATCACCAGGTTAATTCATCCCCCTCCCCCTCCCCCCTAGAACCCTCAGTTTGTTTTTCGGAGTCCATAGTCTCTCAAGGTTCGTCTCCTCCTCCGACTCCCCCCGCTTCATTCTTCCCCTCCTGCTATCTTCTTCTTCTTCTTTTTTTTTTTTTTTTTTAACATATAATGTATTATTTGTTTCAGAGGTACAGGTCTGTCATCTCTTTATTGATATTCTCTATTTGATGAAATACTTTCATCATATTTTCCTTTACTTTCTTAAGCATGGTATCCTTTAGGTTTTTGGACATTTTTATAGTAACTGCTTTGAAGTCTTTGTCTCCTAAATTCAACATAATGGTTCCTCTCAAAGGCAGTTTCTGTTACCTGCTTTTTTGTGTGTGTTGACTCAGACTTCCCTGTTTCTTTGCATGTGTCATACGTCTTTGTTGCAAACTAGATTTTGCGGATAATATGTTGTAGAAGCTCTATAGATATGTCGATACCCTCCTATATGGGGCTTGTTTATATTTACTTGTTATTTGTTTAGTGACTTGGCTGGACAATTTCAATGAACTCTATTTTTCCCACAGTATGCAGCCTCTGATGCTGTTCCTTGGAGGATGTAGCCTTGGGCATACACACTGTCACCTAAGGAAGACCACAGTTTTTGTTTTAGTCTTCTGTGGTCTATTAAGTGTCTGCCTCTGTTGGTATCATACTCAGCTGTTAACCTCCACCAATTGCCAGCTGATTGTATATTGCCCTGAAGTAAAAATTGTTCCACGGTCTCATCCAGTTAAATTCAAGACCCATTTCAGGATTTTGAGGCCAGCCTTTGACACTTGTTCTAACCCTAGGATAACTCTTTTTAGCTGTCTCTGTCCCTGGTTCTTTGCTAAAACTTCTGGCTAGTCTATGGGTTAGTGTGTTGCTCTAATTGAGCATCAGACGCCTCGTAATTTCTTAGAACAAAAATCTTCACTGTTTTTCAGAGCGCCCTTAGACTTGAACTTTCCCACAGTCAGTTCCAAATGAAGTCAGTTTTCTTGAGAGGGACTATGGAGCTTTTCTGTTCGCGTGGCCTGCCTTTCCTTCCATGCTACTAGCAAGGTGGGCCAGGCCTATTATTCTTGGACTGCTCTGCCTGGGGTTAAGCTCCATGAGTGGGACTGAGGAGTAGGAACGGAGTTCCAGACCTCTTAGTTATTCTTGGCTAGACCAGAGCTTCTGTAACACAGAGGTGGGGAGAATGAGAAATGCTGGCAACCTCTCTCGGGGAGAGATCATAGCCCTAAACCAAGAGCTAGGGGAAGAGGAAGCCTTATATTCTTGGCTACATCCATGCTCAGTAGTGCTTGTGCCATGGTGAGCGGGGCGAGGGAGGGAGTGGGTTGTGGTCTAAATGCCACACTCTCACTGCTCTTACCAAGATTTAGATTTGCTTGAATAAATGTTTCTCTACTTGCCGTATGCCCTTAGGACAATGTCCAGTGACTAAATGGTCGGGTTTTTTTAAACTATATTTTCATAATTTATGGTTATTTTGCTGGGGGGAAGGGCAGTCAGCTTCTGTCTAAGCCTCTCTTTTAACCAAGGTTGAGATTTTTAAGAGTTCAAACATGTGCAGAGAATTGCTTCCATGAAAGATGAAAATTTTCCAAAACATCTTTCATGTGTTATCTACTGATTATCTCTCATATCTATCCTTTTCATCCTCAAGGCTACTGCCTTACATATGTTCTCCATCATTTCTTGCCTAAAGTATTTCACTAACCTCCTGACTAGTCCTCCAGCGTAATTTTCTCTCCCATTCCACCTATCCTCCTGCAACTGAGCAAATCATCTGAAACTTTCAAACTGAGTGGTTCTCTGATGACTATAGACTAAACTCCAAACTACCTAGCGTGATTTACAGGCCCTTAAACAGCTAGCTCCGACTTTCTAGCTTCATCTTTTGGCATTTTTCCAGATCTATCTTATACTCTAGCCATAGAAGATAACTAGTCTTACCTTGGTGGCCAGTATCTTTCCAACTTTTGTGCTGCAGCCAGGCTATTCCCTTTCCTTCTCTGACTTGTGAAATTCTACTTATTCCTATTTATTCTGCAAAGGCCTGATGAAATTATTTTTTTAAAGATTTTATTTATTTATTTATTTGAGAGAGAGAAAGAATGAGAGAGAGAGAGAGAGCACATGGGCGGGGGGAGGGCCAGAGGAAGAAGCAGACTCCCCACTGAGTAGGGAGCCTGATGTGGGGCTTGATCCCAGGACCCTGGAATCATGACCTGAGCCGAAGGCAGATGCTTAACCAACTGAGTCACCTAGGTGCCCGGCCTGATCAAATTATATCCATCTTTTTTTCCAAGCACCTACCAAAGTCAGCTTATTAAGGTGAAAATCAAAAATTAAGTCAGAAATCAACAAATATTTGTTGAATGCGTATGTCTCATATAAACCTCTTTAGTATATTTCTGCTTCCTTTCTGGACTCAAAATGAAAACCATAAGAAATATTTAGACAGTTTGCTTTGTAGAAAAACACTCCAGAGTTGATACTAAAAGAATATTAGAAATGGAGTTATAGCTGCCATTCTATTTAAATGCATAAAACCTAAAAATATATTTACTCAGGGATGAACCTCCCCTCCAAAAGATGGGAGTATGTGGGTAGCTATGTTATAATTTTAATAAAAGGTAATTCAGGTTCTGCGCTGTGCACTGCAGAGGGAAAAAAAAGGAAGGCTTTATACCAAATATTTATTTATGCAAGAAAAGGAGAACAAGAATATTCTGGGACAATTCTTATCCTGAATGCCCTTAGTACTTAGTTCTATAGCCAGATAGAAAGAGAGGGAAATTAGAATGTCAAAAATGTAGTATTCTGAGTACATTTTAATTACTCAGGAAGATCTGGAAAAGGTCCTGTTTAATTTACAAACTGAGTATAATCAGATTCATTGTCCTCCCCAAGTTAGGAGAAATGAAAGGGAATTATGTTGGTTCTTACACTTGCCTTTTTCAGGTAAAGCACCTCAAGCTAATAACAAAACATCTGAAAAGGGTATATTATTCAATAATAAAAAAAATCAATATTTGAATTCTGATTACTAAGTTAATTCCCTTAATATAATTTAGATGCCTTGTTTATAATATATACATAAAGAGTAGTATAAAGTAGGTGATTCAGTTATGTTAATACTTACTAAAGGCTGGTCAGTGCATAGCATGAGAACAAGCAATAAACCCTAGCCCTTCTTTCCCATGTCACCATCTCATGGTATCTGAGGCATAATGAAAGATAAAGATAAAAAATACCCACCTAAATAAAATCTACCCCAGATTTCTTGGTTCTCCATTCTTAAAAAAATTAATTAGTACCCCAGACTTGTTTTTCAACGTAAAAGAACACTAACTAGACCTCAGAGAGTTGTTTCTCTGTAAAAAACTTGCAAAATATTATATTTCCGCTGTGTGTCTTTGAGCAAGGTCCACAGCTATATCGTTTTCCGGTCAACACCTTGGGAGAAGCCACATGTGCCAGAGCACGTGCTCCTCACTGCAGGGGCTCCCAGCCATTCTGTCCTGGTACTGACCTGAGGCAGTCATTTGTGCTAAGAACAGCAGGTACACGGAGGTAGCATCCAACTGCAGGTGTCCCCACTGGTCATCAGCCACTACAGTGGCACAGGTTTTGGTATTGTACTTGGCGTGGAGGCTATCCTTGGTACTCTGACTATACTTGAAGGATTCTACTTTATCCACCTGAAGAAAACAAGAACAGTAAAGGAAGGCAATGCAGAAACTTTGTCCCATATGCCATCCTTCTGTAGTACTCTAACATGTATCACCGCATTTAGTTTTCAGGCGATGGTGAATATTTAAAGTACGTTGTTACTTCTCCCCCGCCCCCCCCCGCCCCCCCTCCCCGCACTAAGGCAAGTAGGAAAGTCTGCTGTTGCTGTTTTTTAATTTAAGCAATTCAATTATAAATTCATGCCAGTTAAAGCCAGCTATTTCCTACTCACTACCTCTCTTTTGCTCTTCAGATGGCTGTTTTGTCACACTGTAGATACAAACTGAGATGCAGAGGGGTTGAGTGTGAACAGCCTAGTAAGAGACAACTGAGTTGTAAAAAAGATTCCTTTGTTCCTGAAACAGAGGGAGGAATGTTGAGGGAAATTAGGATAAGGGGATCTATTTTGAAGGAATACTGAAAAGAGCTGGGGAGAGATACATGCAGTGGCAGAGAAAACGTATGAACGAAGGCTGAAACCAGAGGTCAGAAAGGAAACATCGTGCAAGGGACCAACTGAAAGACTGTTCCTGAAACTGAGGTTGCGTTGTATGTGCATCTGATATGTGATAGAAACTACTATACCTTTAAATAAGGTTCATGAAGTTGGTGGCTTTAAACCTATTTGGTAAGGTGGAAAATAGAAAATACAATATCTAAAATACAAAAAGAAAAAAAGGAGCAGAGAAGGGGAAAAAAGAAAATGATGGCAATGAGCTACCCCAGGCGAGAGAGCACTGATAAAGAAGTTCAGAAGTCTGGAGTTGATTTCTTTCTACTTTAGACTTGTTGCGTGCCTGTGGATAGTCACTTTATTAATCTGGGCCTCGACTGCTTCTTCTAATAAAATGTAATCTTGGTCTCAAGAAAGTCAGTTCAGATTCAATGTGTGCAGCATGTGTAAAGATCTCCTAGGATAAAAGCAAAACACTTTCTTTTCAGTAAAATACTTTTGAATGAAAAAAACCATAAACCCAAGAGATAAACCATAGGATGCTAAAAAAATTTGCAGTGTGTGTGACAAAACATTAATATCCATAATGTATAGCAACTCCTCAATTAGTCAAGAAAGAGACAGCCCAAAATAAAAACAGACAAAGGACTTAACAGGCAATTAACAGAGGAAATGCAAGTTTTCAATCTACACAGGAAAGGATGCTCAACTTCATTCAAGGTCAGGAAAATGCAAATTAATGCAAGCAGATATAAGTCTTTGGCACTAATCTCTAATCCTAAAATCTAAAATACTGCCACAAAAGTTCTTCCTCTTTAAGTTCTGTGCCAAAATTCACTTGGTGGCAACACTTGATTCAAATTGACATGGGGCTATTTGTAGTCTTTTCTTATTTCACTGAGTGTGAAAATGCATGTTTCTCTATGGAGAGATTAATGTTTTTGATGATACGGTGCTGTTCTGGACCTGCTGAGAGCATAATATTCTAGTATCTGCGCTGTACTGAAAAATCTGAAAAAGTCTGAATTCCAGAATTTATCTGGTCCTAAGGGTTTCATATGAGGGCTTACAGGCCTGTATCATCTTTACTCAATGTATGTAATTGCGTGTACAATAATGATGAAGTCTACTAAAAAGGCATTTGTAGAGGGGAAAAAAAAGACTGGAAAGAAACATTTCAGTGGTAACTGGGTGGTGAGAACACGGGTGACATTTCCCTCCTCGATTCTACAAATTTTCTAAAATTAGTGTCTACTATTTGTGAAATCGAAAGAATATAAGCTATGAACAATTCCTAAAGGGTAGAGACACTATTACAATGTGCTTTTATTACAGGGGAGCTGTTAACAATGCCATACCTGTCTGATCATGCAGTGCAGCAGGCCCCTCATCAGCTTCACTACACTCTGCAGAAATAAATGGAAACAAGACTGTTATAAACATCCCTAGATGCAGGAACACTTACTCAGCAACTGCAGTTGGTACATGACCTTTTCAGAACAAGTAACCCTATCCAGGGTTCCTATTTACATGGCATTTACTTTATAGGCACACAGAAGAGCTAAACTGCAGCTAAAAGTGGAATCAAAAGCTGCAGTTGGTGCCTCCTTCAAGTCAAGTCAAAAAAAAAAAAATCCAAGCTCCAACAGGTTTATATAAAACCAAGCCAACCATCCTGTTAGAGGACATTCTGCCTGGAGAAAAGACAGCTCAAAATTCCTAAAGCTATGAGGATATTCTACCATAGATCCTATGGCCTAGAGAAGCCAACATCATCATTTTCTTTTTTCTAAAGTAGCCAAGACTTATCTTCAGGAGTTCACAGAAATATTTATCTGTACATTTTCCTTAAAGAATAAATGAACTTCAATTCAGAATAAGTGTAAAGGGGAATTGTTAGTGCAACTCAACTTCTTTTCCATGAAAAAAAAGCTACAGCCATTCTTCATTATCAAATCAACACTCTTTCTCTTACTAGGGCTTGGCAATTTCTAACGCGCTTAGTTTTCCAATCACATTCCAAAATTCTGATCACCAACTATATACTGTACTAGTTGGCATAACATAGTAATAATAATATATTTAATTATAATATGGTATAGTAATAATATGCTACACTAGTTATAGTAAATGACACTAGAAGGGCCCATCAACAGAGGCACGGGTAGGCAATATGTTTTGGAAAAACATAGCATCACATGGCTTCTCCATTTCTTTAAGCTTGCCATTTCAGTCCAAAAGAAATACAACCAGGTTACTCCAGGGAATGCTAGCTCAGAGGTGGCTTCAGGACATCCCTGAAAACTAATCTGCTTGGGAGCCAGATCACTCTGTCATTCCTTCAAAACACTGAAGTGGGACTATAAGCAACAGGCATGATAAGGATAAGTATCTATTAAATTATGCTCCAAGTCTTTATGTAGTCTTTTATTGAGAAAAAATAAAAAGTGTTTCCTTGGGAGAGTTCCCTTTCTTAAGTAATTTCTGTCTACAAATGGTACCCTCCCCTTACAGAGCAAGGGAAGTGTGTGTGTGTATATATATATATACATATGTATGTATATATAGATAGATAGAGAGACAGAGAAAGTAAGAGAGAGCGAGAGAGAGCAGGCAGGCAGTATATGATCTCGTCACCTTTTAAAGCATGAAGCATTTATTATAAATAGTGAAACTGATTGCAACCCCTATAAGAAAAATCTCTATCACAAAAAACGGGGGGGTCACCTGGGTGGCTCAGTCAGTTAAGCGTCTGCCTTCAGCTCAGGTCATGATCCCAGGGTCCTGGGATCGAGCCCTGCATCGGGCTCCCTGCTCAGCGGGGAGCCTGCTTCTCCCTCTCCCTCTGGCCACCCCCCCCCCCCGGCTTGTGCACTCTCTCTCTCTCTCTGTCACGTAAATTAAAAAAAAAAAAAAAATCTCTATCACTACTTTGACCCTAATGAAAGAGACCACCCTTTTAATATACCCTGTTAGAGAAAGCATTTAACACAGCCTCCTCTGTGGGGAACTTGATTCAATTCCGAACTATCTTCTCCATGTCACCACATACTCACAGCTTTCTATCACATTCTTTCAACTTTCTTTACCATCAAGCCCTGTTACTGCCACCTACATTTTCTTTTCTTTTCTCTTTTTTTTTTTTTTTTGAGAGAGAGAGAGAGAGAGAGAATGACCACGAGAGCAGGGAGGGGGAGGGGCCACGGGAGAGGAAGAAAGAATCCTAAGCAGGTTCCACGCCCAGCACAGAGCCCTACAGGGGGCTCGATTTCATGATCCAATGCTGAGATCCTGACCTGAGGTGAAATCAAGAACTGGACGAGTAACTGACTGAGCCACCAAGGCACGCCTATGTTTTCTTTAACTTAAACAGCAAACGTGGGAATCATGGACCCAGTGGAGAATTCCTAATTCCACTTTTGTCCTCCTGGAATGGCCACTGCCAGTCATTTCTGTTCTCAAGTTCTAACTTCCAAGTCAGGATAAAATTAATAGAAAGCATGGGGAGATAGGAATGAGGGAAACTATCTGTACTTGGTGTTCCCCCAAACTGGCCATTTTCTGTTTCAGTGTTCTAGTTAGCATTAATTATACATGTTCATTCATATAGTAGCGCTTCTAACCACATCAAGTGCCACCATATCTATGTACGTATTCATCTCTCTCTCTCTCCAGGTATATGTACAATCAGATGTTTGTTGGGCATCTAAAATATATAAAACACTCTACCAGACTCTGTGGAACATAAAGATAAGGGGGAGACAGAACACAAAAGTTAAAAAAAAGTAAACTACAAATATAGTCTACCTAACAACTCCTAGTTATCCTTTAAAATCCATTTCCTCTGTGCGTCCTTCCTTGCTTTGCTCAAAGTAAAGACATTCCTGCCTCTGTGTCCCACAGCACTTTCTATTGTACTTCTCTCCTATAGATATTGTGCCTACAGTATCTGTCCTAATGTATTGTTTAACTATTTGCTTATATATCTGTCTCCTCCATTAGACTATAAACTCCTTAAGAAAAAGGGACAGAGACCAGGTTCAGAAATAAAACTTTAAGTCAATGGACTGAGCAGACATTATTATTATTATTATTATTATTAGAGAGAGAGGGAGCAGGGGAGGGGGAGAGAGAGAGAGAGAGAGAGAATCTTAAGCAGGCTCCATGCTCAGCACAGAGCCCTCATGACCCTGAGATCCTAACCTGAGCCGAAGTCAAGAGTCAGATGCTTAACCCACTGAGCCACCCAGTCGCCCCACACAGGCTTTATTTTTAAAAATGTATATTCCAAAAAAATAAAAAAATAAATAAAAATGTATATTCCATGTTTGCAAGTAACCCCCAAATCAGTCATCAAAAAAATTGCATGTGTGTGTATGTGTGTGTGCATGCATTTTGAGAGAGGGCGGTTGCAAGTATGACCAAATATTAACAATTTAGTGAATCGGGATAAAGAGTCTATACAAATATGCTCATTTTACTATTTTTAAAACTTTTCTGTAAATTAAAAAATTTTAAAAATAAGAAGTTGAGAGCTAAATATAAACATTTTGTCCCGTTTTGTTTTTTTATATCTAGCACAGGGCCTGGCACACGACAAATTACATAAAGTCTGCTAAATGAAAAAGTGAACATGTTGAATGGTACAGACCACAAGTGATCTAGAAATTCCAAGAAAGTAGTCCCAGGAAAGAAGTGGTCACTGTACAATTGAGTGGTGGTCTTATGAGGATAGAAACCACAGAAAAAGTGGGAGTGGTGCTGGGCTTTGAAAGGGGAGTATTAGTTCAGATTGGAAGACAACAGGCATTATGGGTGGAAGACACAACTTGTAAAAAGATTTGAAGGTGAGAATGTCCACGACTTCCATGGAGGAAAAATTCAAAAAGACTTAATCTGTAGTCATTAAGTCCAGGTTGTGTTCATGGCACCACCAAATTCCAGCCTCATCTCCAAGCTTCAATCCCTTCACTTGTAAATTGGGGAAGATAATACCTAAATCACAGGGTCCTGTGAGAATAAAATACTAGTAATTATGGGGAAGTATGTAGTACAACAAAAAGTATTTACACAAATGTCAGGTATTCTTATTAAGGGATTGTTAGAGGAGTAATGAAGACACCAACCTGGCTGGAACTGGGGGTGACAATGCAGGGCACCAGAATGATACGATACTGAAAAAGCAGGCTAGGACCAAGCCCCAGAGAGTCTTGCCTATCAATCTCAAACATCTGGATTTTACTGGTAGGGAAATGAGAGCCAGAGAAAAATTGCTGGGGATGCAAATGGTATCATTTGAATTTTCACAACAGTGTGAAGTGATCAAAGTCTAGACTGTGGTTGAGGCAGAAGGGAATAGAAAGGAGGAGATGAACTCAGGAAAAATTATAAGAATCAACAGACTTTGGCCTGCATGTATCAAAAGGCAAAAGGGGCAAGTCAAAAATCACCCTAAGGGCAGCACTTTTCAAACACTGTTTTATAGAACACTAGTTAGTCCGGGAAATTCTGGAAAGGTTGTAAAACCCACCCTCATCTTAGATTCGAAATGTACATTAGTACATCAAAGACTCTGAGAAATAATGGAGTAAAGAAACCCACTGTTTAACATATCCCCAAACTTATTTGACCTAATGTTCCGTGGAATACACTATGGGAAATTCTCTAAATAATGTTGCCCAGGTGAATGAGATAGAACGAGGACACCAATAAGAGAATAAAGGATGTATGCTGAGTTGCTGTTTTCGGGGGTCGCTTTTATTGTTTTATTGTTTTTAGTAGGGAACATGGGGTTTCAGACATTCTGAGCTTGAGAAGCCAGGTGCAACTGAGCAGAAGACAATGAAAATCAGGGTTTGAAACAAGTGAGATCAGATTTAAAGATGCAGTTTGGGAAGTCATCCTTAGAAAGGGAATAGTTAACTCCTGAGAAAAGATAAGAGACTACACAAAGAGAACAAAACTGAGGACGAAGCAGAACTGAAGGCATCCAAAGAGCTATGTCTATTTGTGTGCCTATTTATTTTTATGGGTGTATTTCTATATCTATGTGACCAAGAGCAAAGGGCATTTATAAAAACATATATGTGCATAGTTATATTCTCAATCTAAGATAGAAATAGTCACCTAAACCCTTGTCTCCTAATTCTCTTTGATTCTCTGATATTGTTTCTTAGAGAGGAACCAAGGTGAGAGTTGGAAGGAAGGGTGAAAATGATTAACAGTCAGTGGTTTGGGAAAATCCACACAGTAGTGGAGAGTTGAGAATAGGTGGGAATTTAATCTATGGATTTCCTGGATTTAATCTATACTCTTATTGGCCACAAATCAGTGGTTATTACCCCTAGCTGCACTTTAGAATCAGTATTTTTTAAAAATACTAATGCACCAGGGCTTCACTTCCAGAGATTTATCTAAATTGTTCTAGGGTGGGGTCTAGTAAGGGTAGTTCTTAAAAGCTTCTCAAATGATTCCACTGTACAGCCAGAGTTTGGAACCACTCATATAGATTAGGGACAAATCTAGCTAACCATTTGTTTTGTAAATACAAATCTAGCTAACCATTTGTTTTGTAAATAAATCTCTGGCTGCTTTTGTGCAATAACTGAAGAGCTGAGTATTTGGGCAGAGATCACACATGACCCACAATGCCAAAAATATTTCCTCTCTGGCCCTTTACAGAGATGGTTTTCTGATCCCTGGTCTGAATTAACTGAGTCAGGTTTGAGAAAAAAAGTTAATGAGACCTAATAATAAAATGTGTTTTAATTCATAATGAAAGGCCATATAAATTTTAGGATTCCCAGAGAAATGTTTCTTTTTTGAAGATGCTTCCTATTGCCGTAATGTTTTTGAGATATTTCGAAGTTATTATTGAGGTAGTATGAAAAATATTTTTGGGCTATGTTAGAAACTATTTAATGAAACATTAAAATTTTAAAGTAAACAATTCCCACCATTTGCATTGACATGGATGACACGGATGGAACTGGAGGGGATTATGCTAAGTGAAGTAAGTCAAGCAGAGAAAGACAATTATCATATGGTTTCACTCATATGTGGAACATAAGCAATAGCACAGAGGACCATAGGGGAAGGGAGGGAAAACTGAAGGGAGAGAAATCATAGAGGGAGATGAGCCATGAGAGACTCTGGACTCCAGGAACCAAACTGAGGGTTACAGAAGGGAGGGGGGTGGGGAATGGGGTACCTGGGTGATGGGCATTAAGGAGGGCACGTGTTGTGATGAGCACTGGGTGTTATGCGCAACTAATGAATCACTGAACACTACATCAAAAACTAATGATGTCCTATATGTTGGTTAATTGAACATAATAAAAAAATAAACATTTCAGTCTTTCCTTAATTTCCCCCCCTTCCTCTGTTAAATTATTTCTTCCTGGACCATAGAAGGAAAAATGTCAGCAAGGAGACAAGAGATTTCTTCTAATAGTATTGAAAAAAAAAATCAGTCAAATGGTACTAGGTATGGAATCTTGGGTACTGTTCCACTGATATTAATCTCTAGCAAAACAAATAAAATACTGAGGTCAAAATAGCAAAACATTACAGTAGGATGTAGAATTTCAGGGGTGAGAGGAGGAGTAGGGTTACAGGATTTTTAAAATACTCCTCTATATTTTCCAAATTCTTACAATAGTTATGTATTATTTTTATAAGTCATAAAAATATTGATCTATACTTCCTGGGCTAGAGCAAAAACTCCAACAGTTTTTTTTTTTTTTTTCTGATGGGCCTAAGTCCCTCTCAATAATGGCTTGAAGGAATAATGAATACCTGCTGTGCAGAGGACAATATAGTGAAACTTCCCTATCGCCAGGGACTGCAACCCCGCTATATGTTGATGCCCTTTAAAAATAACCAAACCTTAATATTCTGATTTATAGATGAAGACTAGAGCTCAGATTGCCTAAGTCAGAGGGATACCACTTGAGCAAATGGCTGGTGTAGAATCTTCTCCACTAATGGAAAAGAGTTCACATGTACCTTACAACGGACAGCAGAGTATCACATTAAGAGACCCTATGAAACTCAGAATATCATTTTCTGGGTCACTCAAGAGAACGCAGCACCCTCTGTCTGAACAGTTCTATAAAGGATGCTACTTTCTATAAAGGTGAAGGGCCTTAAAAGTTGGCTTAAAGGCATCTGCTGACTCTGACCTTATTTTGCTGAGGGAGGGGGACAGGCTCTGAAACAGAGGTCACAGGTATAAAATTCAACAACTAAATTCTTTACTTGTGTCTAGTTGTGAAGGTCTGCGAATTTGTATCAGTTATCCTCATACAAATACCACCTATAATTTTTTTAAAAATGAAGTAAAATGATAGATACCTGCCCCCAAACATTCTTCTCAATGAGAATAAATATCCTCGAGGCTGCAAAATACCTTTACTTAGGAAGAGGATTATAAATTCCAGCAAAGATCCCAGGATAGGCTTTTCCACTATAACAGAACAGACTGTGCCCTCTTCCCCTGAATCAGCAAGTTTCAAGTTTCCACTACATCAAAAATTGTACATTGGTACAATACAGGAAAGCTTTTTGGAATGTAATTTCAACGAAGTGAAGAGGGAGGGAGAAAGGCAAAATACACTTCTTTTAGCTCCTTAGAGCTACATTTCCTTTAATTCCTGCTCCCCAACCCGCCCTCCCACCCTCACTACCACACACAGCTCCAGATCTCCTTGTATATTTATTCTGAGTACCTGCTCCAGTTCATAGGCCTTTGCCTTATCCTCATCCCGGTCTGCATTCTTCCGGTAGGCCAGGCCCAAACCCCACACAGCCAAGATACTGTACACATTATCTCGGACCCAGGCATCCTTCTGATCATAGCTGGCTGGAAGCAAGCCAGTCACTGGATTCTGCAAGACCAAGAAAAACAGGACAGGCAGGTAACTATAAGCTGTTAATATGAGGAGACCAAACTTATCAAAGGGGTCACTTGGGGACTTTGGTCTTTCTTCTACTCCACTACTCCTGAGTTTTAGAACCTCCCCTTCCTACCAAGTGCAAGCAACTGCTATCTTGAATAAGGGGAAAAAGCTAGCTGAAGCTTTACGAGTCTGAAATGTGAGTACTGTTAAAAGAAAGGCAGTATTTTAACTTTCCAGTTAGAAAGAATAAACTATCAAAACTGAAAAACTAGCATTAAAGGACTAGAAAAAAGTATATAATTAACAGTATATACAAGGTACCTCAAATCTTCACATTAGTCTAGCCTTAAAATGGCTAAATGTTCCCCTAGTTCTCTTCTTTGGCTGGAGGGCAAGAAGATGACGCCCAAGCCTGGGGCAGGGGAGGGGGTTGTCAATAAACAAGCTTCAACACGTCTTTCTTTCTTTCTTTCTTTCTTTCTTTCTTTCTTTCTTTCTTTCTTTCTTTCTTTCTCTCTCTCTCTTCCTTTCTTTTCTTTCTTTCTTTTTTTTTTTTTTAAGATTTTATTTATTTATTTGACAGAGAGAGACAGAGAGAGGGAACACAAGCAGGGGGAGTGGGAGAGGGAGAAGCAGACTTGCCGCCGAGCAGGGAGCCCGATGCGGGGCTTGATCCCAGGACCCTGGAATCATGACCTGAGCCGAAGGCAGACGCTTAACGACTGAGCCACCCAGGCGCCCCTTCAACACGTCTTTCAACCGTGCCCCCCTGGAACCCTGCTGTGACTTGGGGGACGGCGGAGGGGGCGAAGGGCAGGGCTTCTGAAGCCAAGGCTCAGGGCTCCCCGCTAACGGTGCTTGACCCTAGTTCTGCTCTCGGCCCAAGCCCAACACCTATGTTTTCTTCAGGGTCCTCTAAGGCTTCCCCAGCTAGGGGGCGGGAGAACCTGGTACGTACACACACGTACACACACACACACACACACACACGGTGGGGGGTTCATCCAGCCGTCTCCGTCTGGGCTATCACACTGCACACCCTCGGGGATTACAGGCGACACCCCTTCACCTACCTGATGGCACAGGATGGTCTGATGCACCAGCCGAGCGTAGCCATCCAGTCGGACCCCAGAGTTACTCCGGCTCCTCATCGCGCCACGTTTCCAGTCCCCTCAGAGAAACGGCCTGCGTGCCACAGGGGCCCTCGGCCCTCCAAGTGAGGGGGCTCCAGGGCAGCTCCGCCCTCGCGGTGGGAAACCCGAGGGCCAGGCCCCGGCTGAGCCCTCCCGCCGCTCAGGCCTGGCGCCGGCCGTCCACGCGCCGGCGGCCTCCGGAGCCCCAGCACACGCCAGCAAGTGCCCGAGACTCCGGCGGTCTGGGGCCCCGCCGCCGCTCCCCGCCCGGCGTCGCCCTCTGCCGCCCTTGGTCCCGCCCGGCCTCCAGGAGAGGATCCTGCCTCCCCCGCCGACCTCCCGGACGCGGCGGCCGGCAGCGGGGCGCGGGCGGCAGTGCCGTCTCCACCTTGCGGGAGACGCGAGCCGGGGGCGGGGCGGGCGCGGCGGGTCCTGGCAGCTGCGCGCTGCGTCCAAGGGGTTCGCCTCGGCCCGCCCCGCCCGCGCGGGTCCCCAGCGCCCCCGCCCGCTCCGCGGCCGAGAATGTGTCACCGTAGGCAGTATGCCTCCAGAGGTTTATTTTCGAAACACCTCCAACGCCTAGTTCAGTTTTCCACGCTTGCTGTGCGCGCAGGATGTTGAGGAGGCCGTTTCTTCCGCCGGCCTCGTTTTAGGAACCTAGGGAAACTTCAAACCTAAAAGGCGAGACGCGCGCTTGGCGGCCAGGGTCTACAGAATTGGAATCTCCGGGGCTTTACTGTATTTCGTACTCTTGCCTAAAAGCTCAGATTAAACTCCTCACTCTGACCCAAACCGAACAAGAAAGAACTCCCTAAGGTACTTTCTTCCTTAGAAACTGGTGAAGAGCCAGGCACGGGAAGGAGGGGGCAGTGGTGCGCTTTCAGGGAACTAGTTCCCCGGGTGGGGGCCTGGGCTGCGAGGCCAGCAGGGCCTCAGGACGGCCTTGGCTGGAGAGGAGTTGGAGGAGGTTGTGTAACTGCCTTGGAAGGCTTCCTCGTGCGCACGTAGGTCACACGGCTGAGGCAACAAAGACTCAGCTGAAAGTAAAGGGGCCAAAGGGAGGAGAGAAAAGAAGCCTGTAGGTAACACTGATCATTGGCCACAGGGTACTCTCGGCCCGCACCCCGCTCGGTGTCCTGGCGCCAGGGCCATTGCTCCCTGCGTTTGCTGCCCTCAACCCCCGCGCTCGATCTCCGCTGGTGCCAAGCCTGCACGCCTTTCAAAGCTCGCTTTAAGTACCAGCTGCTCTCTGAATCTCAGAGTAAGAGAATTAGACTGACCTTTCAACTCCAACTCCGAGAATCTGTGGTTCTAAGCCGTCTCCAGCCACCTCGCCCAGGCTACGGTGATTTTGTATTTTCATTTACCTTTTTATTTCTCTCAATTTAGTCTCTTCTCACAAGCTCCCTCCCTTCCAACACCCCGCGCACCCCTGCCCAAATTAGCATCAAGCCTGGCACCAAGGAGGTGACTAGCAAATATTCCTTAATGTTGATGATGAGGAATGAGGAAATGCTCAAGAACTCAGATCTGGAACTTTCAGTTTCAACAGCCAGTCAGTGATACAATTAGACACGGTGATACACTTAGAATTCTCAAGCAAATAGTTCCCATTGCAGTCGCTTGCTATGCAAATGCCAGGATTGGCAAATAAGCCATTTCAAGGCCCAAGGGCACAGGGGAAGAAAAAGTCTTTCCAGGGAAAACTACTTCATTTTGGACGAAAGAGTGCTTGACCTTCCCTGCTCTGGCCCTAACTCCCTGACATCTTTCCCTCAGCTTGTAGCCTCTGAAGCCTTGTCTCTATCCTTGTCCCTTTCAGGCTACTGCCCTCTCTTTTTCTTCACCTTACCATTGTTTAAAAATGTTCTAAAAATATTAAAATAATAAATGCTCACTAAAGAAAACTTGAGAAGTATAGAAAAGTAAAGCAAATCACCCATAATTCCTTCACACACACAACCACCCGTTAATATTTTAGTGTAACTTTTCTAGTCTTTTTATTTCTTCTGCACAGACCTCCCTCCCCCCCCCCCCCCCCCGCTGCGCCCCGAGTTATTTAGAAGTATGACTAGATTAGGAATATCCAAGGTAGGGTGACACCAAGAAAGGTAACTGGCTGGCTAACAGGAGGCCTGGCTGGATGGCGTTAGCTTGGTGCTTTCAACCTCAGTCCAGGCTGGGTATATAGTCCTTCAGCCTTAGAAACTTGATCTCCTCAGTGCCCCAGAACTGGTCAGAGTCAGGAGGCTGACTCATGCCGATTACCTTATGAGATTGATGTATGAGAACCAGAGAGCTGGTTGATAATGAGAAATAGAACTGTGACGGTTTATGTTGGCCTCATCACCACGGGTCCCTCCCTTAAATACTGCATAAGCCTTACTCCTTACCAAGTGCTATTTTGTTTTATACAATAACCGTATGAAGTAAATACTATTATTAACCCCATCGTAGGGATGGGCAGGGGAGGATTAAGTAACTAACACGTCTGCTCTATGTTGGCTTCACCAACTCTCCCTTTTCTGTGCTTCCATGGCTCACTGACACATTTGTTAATATGTCAAAACTATCAATCAGGTTATAGCCAAGACTTGCCAGTCTGAAAGCCATTATGTTTCTTGAAGGTGATTTTTCTATTTGATTCAAAGTATATTAATTTTATAGTTTAACTCTAAAATAAAATTTTATTTCCAATTTCCTCGGAATATTTTATTGTCGATCCTTTATATTTCCTGGAAGCTTTCATTATACTAATCTTCAAAAATCCAAAATTTTTAAAACTTCACATTTTATAAATATTTCCATGGTTTACATTTTATGTTAATATCTGCACTAATCTTCCCTCTAGTACATGTCCTCAAGTTTGCTTAGCTATTCTCTTATTATTAAGTAAAAATAAATCTTTTATTATCAAATTTCTTGAAAGAAAAGGTTCATACACTATCTCCTTTCCATCATTTCCCGTTCACTCTCTTTCAATTTTTTGAAAAAATTATAGAAGCACTATATAAGCACATTCTTCATGAAAAAAGTTAAAACATTACAGATAAGGTTGAAGTTCCCTATGTCTATCACCCACAATCAGAGGCTCCTCTATCTCCTTTCCCAAAGGTAACCGCTAAGATTGGTTTGTATCGTTCCAGATTTTTTTCCGATGGATTAACATATATATGTCGAAATGCATATAAAATATTATTGTTTTCTGTGTATTCTTTTAATATAAACAATATTATACCCTACTTCCTGTTGTGCAGATTGCCCTATTCATCCAAAATTATGTCATGGAGATCTCGTTATGTTATCATACACCATGGTTTATGTAGGCATTCCTCTATTTTTTTTTTTTTTATTTTGCAGGTGGTGAGGGGGCCATCTTTTAATAAATACTTTGTTAGGCATTTTATTTTTCACCATAGCAGAAAGCAACATAACTGGACCACATTAGCCCAGTCTCACCAAAAAGAAATAAAATAACTCCAGACCCAAAAATCAACCAACACTTTCACTAAAAGACATTATCAAGGATGCGTTAGGATATGAGGAAAATCTCTGCAGCTTTTGCAAAAGTTCTGTAGAGGACATATTTCCTGGATAGGTAAAAACCATGCAAGAAATACTTTTCAGAATTTAGGAAGAGAAAAAGAAAATAGTTGTCAGCTCTAATTAACTTGGAATAGTCCCTCTTTTTTTTTTTTTAAGATTTTATTTATTTATTTGAGAGAGAGAGAATGAGAGACAGAGAGCAGGAGAGGGAGGAGGGTGAGAGGGAGAAGCAGACTCCCTGCCGAGCAGGGAGCCCGATGCGGGACTCGATCCCGGGACTCCAGGATCATGACCTGAGCTGAAGGCAGTCGCTTAACCAACTGAGCCACCCAGGCGCCCCAAGGAATAGTCCCTCTTTTAATCAGTGCTTCTACCAGGAAGTTCAGAGCTAAATTTAATATAAATTACTGAGAATTAAAGCATATGTATTTTTCCCCTGAGAGCCCCTCCCTCACATACACTCATATGAGTTTGAGCTATTTTTAATTGTCTTATTATACATGAATTTTAAAAAGCTATCTTAAAATCATTTGGGAAGTAGGCAGGGTATAAATTTTAAATAAACACACTTGAGAAATATGAAGTAAACAAATTCATGTAGGAATAATTTCAACATGAAGAAATGACAGGAAGCTAGAGATTTGCAGTGGCAGATTTTTTTCAAAATGTAATTATTTCAGGCACAGTTGGTAAGTACACCTGTCGTATATGCTTCCAGAAATGTAGCTCAAAATGATAACATACTGAAAGAAAAACAAATCTTGGGAATACAAAATTCATTTATTATAACCAGTTTTGCTTACACTGTCTCAGAATAGCCATCTGGACTAAAATGTGTGGGTAACAGAACAACTTACTACAATACAAATTTCATATATATTTAGACCTTGGAGCTTTCTAAGGGATTGAAAACTTTTCAAAAGCATTTTTGCTACAGAAATAAGCATTCCTCTATTGATGAGCATTTACATAGTTTGTTTCCGGGTTTGAACTCTTGAGAACAGTACTTCAGGGAATATGTGTATATGTCTTCTTGTGAATGCATATGGATGTTTTGGAAATAGGCATTTAAAAATTTTTGATATAGCCAAAAAGCCATTTAAATTATCTGCACCAACCAGTAGTGAATGAGTCTCCACTTCCCCAATTCTTACCAAACTTGATATGATTAGACTTTAATTTTGAGCAATCTAGTGGGTACAAAATGGTATCTTACCTTAAGTTTCATTTACCTAACTACTAATGTCACTAAGCATCTTTTTATGTTCAATTTAATTTATATTTTATTATATTATGTTTAGTTAGTTTATGTCTTCTTTATATACTTAGTCATTTCTCTATTGGGCTGTTTTTCTTATTGGTTTATAGGAATTTAAAAAAATATATGTATTCTGCATTTTAGCTTTTGTTAAAGAAATCTAAAAGAGATATTGTACTTGTTTTACCATAAGCAGTTTATCTATTTGCATTTTTATGGTGTTTTCATGTAGTTTTTATTTTTAATGAAGTTAAATTTATGAGTCTTTGTCTTATTTTAGAAGGCTTTTATAGGAGGTTGAATGGTGACTCCCCAAAAGATATGTCCACCCAGGACTTGTGAATGTGACCTTATTTGGAAAAGGGGCTTTTGCAGATGTAATTAAGGTTCTGGAGATTAGATCATGCTGGATTTCCTACTAGCTCCTAAATCCAATGACAAGTGTCCTCATGAGAAAAGGAAAAGATACATAGGGAGGAGAAGGCAATGTGAAGACAGAGCCAGAGATGGAAGTGATGCGTTTACAAGCCAAGGAATGCCAAGGATTGCCAGCAACTACAAGAAGCTAGGGGAGAAACATGGAGCAGATTCTCCCTCAGAGCCTCTGGGAGG